TATGTCTAGTGCGTTTGACACGATCAAACGCACTACGATTCTTGAACTCCTGAAACTGTGTGGCTGTACTGAGGATGAGCTGAGGATTGTCCGGTTGTTGTTGTCCAACACAAAGCTACGGGTGAAGGTAAATGGAGTTCTTTCAGCTGAGTTTTTAAGTCTCCTTGGAGCTTTCCAAGGTGACTTTCTATCCGGCTGTCTGTTCACCCTTGTCTTGGCTGGTGCTTTGAATGAACTTAGATGGACTAAAACAATCAGTTTAGATAGGCCGATCCCCCCGATTACTATTGCTGGCCTTCCACTTGACACTGAATATGCTGATGATGTTGACTTCAATGATGAAGAGGAAGACAACTTGAGAGCTATTTTGCCCCAGGCAACAGCAATACTCGAGAAATGGAACCTCTTTGTCAATGAAGACAAAACGGACTTCACTCATGTTTATTTAGCTAGTACGGGTGAAGTCAACAGTGATGGAAAATTAGTGTCGGGGAATGAAGCATGGAGGAAAAGTATCACTCTAGAGTCCGTCTTGTGTAGCAAAGCTGATATTCAGCGTCGCATAAACCTGGGATATGCTGCCTTTAACAATTACAAGAAGGCCTGGAGTGATAAACTGCCCCTAAACAAACGTCTAATACTGTATAATGCTTTAGTCGTATCGGTTCTTATGTACAACTCATCCTGTTGGGCCGTCCCCAAAATAATCCTTGAAAAACTAGATGTTGTTCACCGCAGACATCTTCGCACTATTTTGAATATAAAGTACCCAGGAGTCATCTCCAACAAAAACTTGTATAAACGCTGCAATGCTGAACCATTGTCAGAAAAAGTGGCCCGTAGTCGGTGGAGAATGTTAGGACATGTTTTGCGGGGTCCTATTGACGGACCAGCGTTTTCTTCCCTCATTTTTGCCATCAATACACTGGACTTACCAGGGAGAAGAGGAAGACCCCAAAGCAATCTATTCTCGCTGATTGTGCATGATTTGTGTAAAAGAAATCTTTATTTGAATAATATCTTTGACCTGCATTATCTCCGTAATTTGAGTTATGACAAGAGATATTGGCGGAATTTGCAATGAAGTTTTTAATTTTTAGTTTTTGTTTTAGGGAAAGATTAGACTTGGGCGTTGTTTTTTAAAACTATCCCTTGTTTAGAACTTTGATTTAATAATTTAATATTAATTGTATGACTATTTCCATTATTGAGACGTTTTTAATATTTAATTTAAGAGGATTTTTGAAATTTTTATAGGACTGGTTCACAGTGTGAACAGATTCCAGATTTATATATTTTTAAACTGATATTTAATAAATGATTAAAAGAACCAATTTTAAAGTTGCCATACTAAAACCTCTAGGTCCAAAAATATACCCATTATGCTCACTTAAAAACAACTCTAAATTAGTAGGCTGTCACTCTATTAATGCACCACACCGCTACCTCCACTGCACTAAAAGTTATACAATAAATTCTACAATCCTAATTATGTAATATCGTGATGGAGACCGGTGTCCATACAAAACATTTACTAGGTTGCCGTTTGGTGTGAGCAATCAAGGTACTGGAAGCAGTATATCCGTAGAAAACCTTCATGCAATGAAAATTTTGAATATATGTCCTACCAGTAAGACATATTCGAATTTGAGACCCAAATTTCATTGTTTTTACTGCATTTTTCTTCATTGACCATCTTACAAGGTCACTGAGGATGGCACAAGACACCATTGAGGTTTTTAAAGTTCCATTCCCAAAAAAAGCTTTGATAAACGGAAAATCGTCAGAATATAAAAAGAGATGTTTTAATTTTTCTTAGCCTTATTTTGAGTTATATTATTATACTATTGTTCATTTTTACACATTTGCTCACATCACTCACAGTCAGCCGCTCTGACACGGTTAACCACCTTACTTGTGTTGTTGGTTAATCAGATGTTTTAATTTTTCTTAGCCTTATTTTGAGTTATATTATTATACTATTGTTCATTTTACACATTTGCTCACATCACTCACAGTCAGCCGCTCTGACACGGTTAACCACCTTACTTGTGTTGTTGGTTAATCATATGAGCGGGGTATAAATACCTCATTTCATTTCAAAGAATTTTGAAGAAAAGCTTTTTGCCATCCCCTTGACCGATATTTCGCGGTTTTGACTGAAATTTTTACCAGTGATTAATCAGTTATGTCGGTGAGAGTGACTCAAGTCGCCATCAAGATATTGGAAGCAGTATTATCAAGGGAAAATATTGATTGTTGATGCAAATTTTAGATTTCTGCTTGACCATTGTTAAATGTCAACCCATCGAGCAACAATCGGCGAAGCATGAAGAATGCTAGTTCGCGCGGCGCGTCGAAGCGTCGAAATTTTCAAAATTGGTGGTATTCGACGGTCCAAATTTTGAATTGATTGTTGACGGATGTTACTCGTCTAAATTTCTTCGAAGTAGCGCGCGCCGCTTTCTTCTCGAAATGGCCCGACGGCAAGTGCTACGAAGTAGCGCGCGCAGGGCCAGATCATTAACAATGGTCAAAATTGATTGTTGACAAATTTAACTTGGTGCGCGTCTTGGTTGGTTATTAATTTACAAAATAACAATACTCTCCAATAATAATGTCAATTATCAGTGGCCTTTTATATATTATATTTTAGTATAATACATTTTACCTTATAATTAACCATCACTTCCATCTAGAAATTAATTACTATGCTATGTATTTGTTTATGTAATTAGTGATCGTATCAGCGCCTTTCATTGATCTACTCAACGCGTTTCATTCTACTCTCAACAAACTTGACAATAATGAACAATATCACTTTAAATTAAATTAAATCATTTTAAAACTAAAACATAATTTAAAAATCAACAGTAATGATTTTTGTTGCACAAACTATAAACTATAAAACAAAATAACTTTTTCATATATACATTTATTAAAATAAATGTCACTCAACTAACTTTAATAACATGCCGCGCGCAATCAAACATTTGTTCAAAATCGAGCGCTAGTTTATCTTTTATTCTTTCGTTACCCAATTGATTGATCGTTTCTGACACGGTCCATGCATTCTCTTTAAAACGGTCTATGTTTATTTTTACTCGGTTTCAGTAAACACGTCATTACCACAATATAATCGAAGTATCCGTCATTGAGAACCCGTAGGGCCTTGAAAGCTCCTTGTTGAAAAGGGATATTTCAATGAGTGGCTGAAGATTCTAAGCTTCGGACTGTGATCATTTAATAATCATATAGTCTTGCTACAGGCTTCCTGTGCACAAGGAGTAAGTTTCTGATCCAGTTCAAAAATGTGTAATAAAGGCAGGTTTCATCAAAGCTTTTGCTTCAATCCGATCTCGAGGGGCTCAGACGGATGTTTGTTATTTGTGTTCAGGCGACTGACTCCACTGCACGAGTTGGGTTGGCACCCAACTCGTGGAGTCAGTCGCCTGAACACAAATAACAAATATCTGAATCATTGCAATGCTCTCCCTACTCATCTCCTTATCACTTTACTTCCCTTCTGCCTCTCCCACTCGTTCTGTTTCATCTAATGGACTTTCGTCATATTTAGTTTAGTTGATAATTCTAAACTACAACTTTCAATCAAATCAAAGCTTGGTATTTGTAATAGTGTCAGTTTGTAGAATGCTTGTGGGCTCACGAGCAATTTAAATGGCTGCATTTCGTTCTATTTGGTCTTTATACCCAAGTATTGACGGCCCCAACGTTAATGTGGCTCTTGCTATGTGTTTGTTGGTTCAGCCGAATTAATTATTATGTAATCAAGTTTATTTATATTTTTAGTTAGTTGTCATCCGGCTAAACATTAAGCAACCTATGTATATTGCAGTACCATTTATCAATTAGTATATTAAAATATGTCATTGTAATTTTGCATGGCTGAAATGTAACGCTTGATTTATATACAGGGGGGGGGGGGGGGCAAAAGTTAGTACCCTTACGTTGGGTCTTATACCACCGCTGTGTTATATATTTGATGGTTGTTGCTTTGCAGATGGCTTACTGTACCTACTTGTTCGAGGATTCCGTCGCCAAAATTTGAAAATTCGAATATTTTAGACCACGCCCATTCAATTTAAAACACCTTTATTGTTCTCTCTGAACATGCTGAAGGCCTATTTTCAGATACGGTATATTATTAAATGTTGCATCTGATCTGAAAACATGAGGCAAAACGGATTTGAAATGACGAAGTTATCAAGCATTTTGTGTACCTCGTTAACAAAATTGATTGGCTGATTATGGGACACTGCGACACTACACCTTAATTGGGCACTCCTAACAATTCCCATAATGTTTAACAATAACGGGGTGGTTAACAGGGTCACTAAATCACGTGATTAGGTAAACCAATCACCTGATCACACTTAATGAATAAACTCGTTATGCTTCCTAACTCGGCCATCTGAGAAGCTACCACTCTAATTCTTTCAGGAGAAACGTAATACGAATGGCCAAACTCAATTCAATACAATCTAGCTCGATCCGACTATCCAAACTATCAAATAAATGCAAAAATGAACCTTCATTTGAAAAAATGAACATGAATATTTTTCGATTTTACAAATTTCTCGAACCAGTAGTAGTAGTAAGTCATACCAGAAAGAATTATTTTAATTGGGCACTCAGTGATTGAGCTATTAAGGCCAACGCAAACCTATGGGTACTGACTTTTGGCCCCCCCTAGCCTGTATATAATAATTAATTGAATTTTCAAATAAAAATAAAAATAATTATTTCTAATGTCTTTAGACTGTCCTTAATAATTAATTATTTTAATGCATTCACTGGTTTTATACCAGAGCACTACAACGAGGAGCATTTGCATTTTCATCAATAGGACAAATATTTTGCCCACAATAAGGGGCTATAATTGTTTCAATTCTGTAACAGTATAGATTTATTATTATAATCATTTACTCATACATTCTCACTGTCTCCAATTCCAATTCTACAATCTTCCCCTAAGTTAGTGAGGTTTATAATGGCTGAGGCTCCCCGAGTTGACGGGAGAATAGATCTAGACAGACCGAGATGGCAGCAGAACACCTATATTGGGAGAGCAAAGCACTTCTTCAGTGTCACGGACCCTCGTAACGTACTTCTTACTGGGTCTCAATTAGACAAAGCTAAAGAACTGTTGAAACTATACAGGTAATATTGTTATTTGTTAGTAAAATAACCAAATTAACAGAGTTAACAGTACCTGTACTGGGAGTGTAGGACGTAGGTTTACAAATTATCAGTTGTATCCTGACCTGTGATTGGTTCAGGGAGAAAAAAGAGCCTGCTGGGGTTACTGATGATCAAGTATATGCTGCCAAGAAGATGTATGAGAGTGCTTTTCATCCTCAGACACAACAGAAGATGTTTCTTCCTGGGAGAATGAGCTTTCAGGTATGTTAAAACACCCTTTCTAACCTGATAAGAGGTGTTCAAATGGTTTATGAAATCACCTGTGAGAGATAAAATTACTGAAATGAAATTTACCTAATTCTCAAGTTGTACAAATTCTATTATAATAACGTGGACGCTGAAAATTGAACAAAAGTGTATTATAAATGTCTGCACCATGTACAATATCACTAGGTTCCCGGCAACATGACTATAACAGGATTGATGATGACATACTACAGGTGAGTTTGAGTATTATTGGTTTTTGTTAACTGTAAATTCTATCATGATAATTATACGAACTGTCAATTCTCCGGCAAACTTTCCAAGAAATCGGCCACTCAGTCATATACATTACACTATAATATAAACATACATTATACAGCATACACTATACACACATATATATTACACATCCTGTCTAATTGTGTTAGCCTAAATTATTTCGCCAATTTGTCCTTTATGTTGACTTTTTCATCTGGTTATGAATATCCGGCAGTGAAATAAACCGATAAAATTCTCAGATTTCAACATTTATCGCTTGGTCGTCTACCATTGCTATTCACTACCATTACTATTTACTTTGCAAAGCAATTAGTTTTACACAGCGGGACACCTGTTGATGATTACAAAGGTGTTAAGTTTCTAAAATGTATGATAATGATAAATGATGATAAGACTTAGTTATTGGTCTCGTACCAATATTGTTGAGCTAACAATATATTATGTTCCATATTGATGCTTTTCATACAAAGTTACAACAAAGTCTTCATGTTATGTATCCTGGGTTTGGACAGGATATTACCCGCTTATATATTATGTGCCATATATTATGTACACTGCATATTATGTATACTGTACATTGTACTATATTTAGATTGGCATTTGGCAATCACTCTGCTAGAACTAAATAACTGCATCATGGTTATTGTAAAGAAGGACATACATGAGTAAAAAATAATCAATAAATCTAAAAAATAATAGTAGATTATCTTTTTTCAATGATATAGTGACCTGTTAAAATGTATTATAACCTGTTACAATGTACAATGTACAATGTATTATAACCTGCATCCTCAGTAAAACGTCTGCTAGTAGGTAGAAATTAGACACTGTTAGGAAAAGAATATTTAATAAATAGTCATATTTTAATTGTCTACTTTACTTATGTATGGCTTTTAATTATTTTCAGTGAATTAATTATAATACATATAATTACCCACTTTGTCAGGTCGACGCCTGCTGTGTTATTTTGGCAGTGGATTAACCAGTCTTTTAACGCTGTCGTCAACTACACGAACAGATCTGGAAAAAGTGACATCCCCGAATCGTAAGATTATTAAATCTTTTGATTTTGTAGACGAAATTTTTAGTTTTGCTCAACATTATCTTAAAATAATACACAATGAATTTGAAAGCATCTGCCGAATTCTTTGTTTTATCCAGCTTATTGAACGACGATTAATTACTCATATCATGATATAACCAATTTTCCATATTATTATAATGTACTAAAGAACATCTCCCATTAGTTTGCTGCTTAAGTCCTACATAGCTGCCACAACGTGTGCGGTAGGGGTCGCAGTTGGTCTCAACAAAGCCACAGTGGTAAGTGTCCCCTCTATCTTGCATGGTATAATTTCTAAACGTGTCTTTGCTCTGGCTGAATAATCTTGATCTTGTCTCTCGTGGTATAATGTCTTGTATATTAAATTGCAGTTTCATGAACAAAAACGCTTACGTGGAAAATGAACACTTTATTTTGGTCTGGATCATCAAATATTAAATAACGGTTATAATTGCAGTTTACTCACTAAACTACGATCTCTCAGAAACTACCGCCTCTAGTTGGACGAATGGTCCCCTTCGCTGCTGTATGCTCTGCTAATTGTGTTAATATCCCAATGATGCGACAAAGGTATGTACTATGTAGTTGTTTATGTTAAGGTATGTAGTTGTTTTGATAACGGTTTAACGGCGCGGTGTTTTACTTTTTAGTTGTTGCGAAAAACCCTTCGATCTGGTAAAATACATTGATAAAGGAAATTCTACAAGCTAACATAATCATAGAAAATGAATAGACATGTGGGTGTATTTGATAATTGGGTCTGCATAACCCCGCAGTGAGCTGATAATAACCAGTAACCAGTAACCAGTAACCAGTAACCAGTAACCAGTAACCAGTAACCAGTAACCAGTAACCAGTAACCAGTAACCAGTAACCAGTAACCAGTAACCAGTAACCAGTAACCAGTAACCAGTACCCTCACCCCGCAGTGAACTGATAGACGGTATAGACGTGTTGGATGATAACGGTGAGGTGGTGGGACAAAGCAAGGCTGCTGCCAGATCAGCTATTACACAAGTAGTTTTCAGCAGAATACTCATGGCCACTCCTGGAATGGGTATTTTTACAGTATATTTCTTGATTTTCCTTACACATCTATTATTTCAAACCTCCCCGGGTGAAATCTCACCTGATTCATTGTTCACACTATACCATGTCTGTGTTTGTTCAGATAAATGTACATGTACACTAAACTAATTAAACTGCTGGAATGTACTTCCTGTTCTTACTGGGTCCAACTTTTCAGCCCTCACCCCCGTAATAATGAACGCACTGGAGACGAAAACAAAACTTTTCAAGGTATTGCTGAAAGAATAATCTTTAAAGTTCCACGAATTCTGGTGAAGATATTTGCATTGCACGTTACAACGAAATAAAGTTTTAAACCACTGCTTTAACGCCAATATCAGCAGTCAGTAATGTGCAGCTATATATATTCTCATACTTAGAATTGTAAATGACCGAGCTTTGATGTAATATTGTAACTCTGATGCATTTCAGGGCCGTGCTTGGCTGGGAGCGCCTGTGCAAGTCGGAATAATTGGACTTATGTGAGTTCAAATCATATCATACAACAACAACACGTCAGTAATACATACATTTAGTTAGAGCTTTCGCTGACGTTGAGGTGGAAAAACAAGCCAATATCGAGTTTTGTAGCCACAATCGCCCCGGAATAAAGCAGTAAAGGATCACAAGATAGTTAAGTGTCATCAAACAAATGATACGACTTATTCCAGGGTGATCTGCTGAAGACTTTCGCTGACGTTGAGGTGGAAAAACAAGCCAATATCGAGTTTTGTAGCCACAATCGCCCCGGAATTAAGCAGTAAAGGGTCACAAGATAGTTAAGTGTCATCAAACAAATGATACGACTTATTCCAGGGTGATCTGCTGAAGACTTTCGCTGACGTTGAGGTGGAAAAACAAGCCAATATCGAGTTTTGTAGCCACAATCGCCCCGGAATAAAGCAGTAAAGGATCACAAGATAGTTAAGTGTCATCAAACAAATGATACGACGTATTCCAGGGTGATCTGCTGAAGACTCAACTAGTTTCGGCCTTTGAGGGCCATCCACAGGAGTGTCACCTAGCAGAAGTCAAAAATTTAATAAACTGATATCAGAAGAATATGTCATATTAGCAAACACAAGATAATAGAAAATAAATCATAAAATCGAGTGGCCGAGTAGTCTCGACTCACCCATAGCTTCTCCATAAACGTCTATCATGAGCTTTGTACACTAAATCGTTGAAATTACTTAAACTAAATCTTTTATTTACAATCACAATAATATTCTTTGTCATAATGTCTTTTAATGACTTACTGACTGACTGACTTAAGGCGGCTTCAGCGTCCGAGTATTGATGCGCTGTCTCCATAAAACTCTACCCGCCATAAGTCCGCCCATTTCTCCAGTGTCGTTGAGACCCGTGTCAGCTCGTAGGCTATCAACATAGGTCATGGCTGGTCTCCCCCTACTCCGCACCCCATGAGTTGGTTCCCAGAGTAGCAAGCGGTTTGCGACTAGTTCTGGGTGCCGGTGAATATGGCCTGCTAGTCGCATCCTGCGCTCTTGGATCTTCATGGTTGCTCTCGGTAGGTTGCCATAGACTTCTTTGTTGGTTTTTCGCTGCTTTTTTTGTTGTTTTATGTTATTTTTTGTGCCGGGTGAAGGAGCCGGCATATCATCTGTCACCCCTCTCCTAGGGAGTTTTAGGGTGAGAGAGTCATCAATCCGGTCCCCTCCGACATCTAAATCAGTGGTAGGGACTTTAACCCTAGTGTTATTATAAGACATCATCAAACTTTTCAATGTCTTTTAATAATAAATCAAATAAATTTGAACGAGGTCTGCCCCTCCTTCCTTTGTAGTCAAAACATCCTAAACATGCAAATCTAAAATAAATATAAATAATAAATTCTAACATTTATTACACGCTTCGACATTAAAATATACCCAACAAAGATGTACATTAAAGTCATTCAAGCGAGACTTAGTGTTGAAATAGCAAGATTATGGACTTTTTAAACAGTTCAGATTTTATGAACAAATATTTGTATGAAGTTACCAAAATTATGCACTTTCATATCAGTTCAGACATTATGGACAAATATTAGAAATATTATCAAAAGCTAGTTGGAAATAAAACGTCTTTAGGGCATTTTAAAAACATTCTACAGATGATAATGATCTCACTGAGTAGGGTAGTTCATTCCAAATTTTTGGTCCACAAAACATAAATGCAGCATCTGTTCGTCTGAAATGAGGAGCAGGAGGAACTTTCAACAAATAAAAGTCATCATCTAGTCTGGAACTTTGTCTTCGTACTTCTCTTAGATTGACGTGTCCTTGTAAGTAGTGAGGGGCTATGTTATTAAGACACTTGAAGACCAGAAGTGATATTTTGAACTTAATTCTGAACCGAACAGGCAGAAAGTGGAGCTTTTTGAGGTAAGGCATGATAGGTTCACGTATCTTTTTTCCGTAAAGACCAAAGATAAATCTAGCAGCATTGTTCTGTATCTTTTGTAGCTTATGAAGATTCTTTTCTGTTATTCCATAATAGACTGAGTTGCAGTAGTCTATGAAACAGAGGATATTGGAGTGAACTAACTGAACTTTTAGGTCATGGGAAAGCTTCGAACCGATTCTTGCTAAGTCCCTTTGATTCAAATAACATACTTTGGAGACAGCATTTATTTGAGAGTCCAGATTCATTTGGTGATCGAAAAGGAATCCCAGGTTCTTGGCCTTGCTAACAGGGCAGATTGAGAGGTCTCCTAAATCCATTGTCTGGATTGGGCTGACATATGGTCCTATATCAATGAACTCTGTTTTTTCATCATTCAGTTTTAGGAAGTTAACTGTCATCCATTGCTTTATCTCCAGAAAGCAATTTTTCACAGCCGTTAAATCAGGATTAGAACTGTGAACATCAAAAGTAAAGTACACCTGTGTGTCATCTGCATACAAATGTATCGAGAAACCATATTTTGTGACAATTTCTTCAAGATCTCTGGTATACAATATGAACAGTAGTGGTCCTAAAATGGATCCTTGAGGTACACCAATATCCAGATAGCCTTCAGAAGATGTGGCTTTTTTTACTTTAACCTTGAATGTGCGATTATTAAGGTAACATTGTAACCAGCTGAGTGCTAGTTCTGTAATACCATACCCATTTGAGTTTCATAAGAAGGAGGTTATGGTTTATGGTGTCGAAAGCAGCTGATAGATCTAAGAGTAGAAGCACAACATTCGATTTGCTGTCAATCATCATTAAAATATCATTATGTATTTTGGTAACTGCAGTTTCACAACTATGGAATTTTCTATAGCCTGATTGATATGGGGAAAACAGGTTGTTGACATCAGCATATTCATTTAATTGGCTATGAACTACTTTTTCTAGTATTTTGGACAGATAAGTTAGATTGCTAATCGGTCGATAGTTTTTCAGCTCATCAACATCTAAGGTAGGTTTCTTGAGTCCAGGCCTAATAGATGCTTCTTTTAGGGCAGATGGAAACTTTCCGACTCTTAGTGATTCATTCACGATGTAATGGATGATTGGGAGAAGCTCGGGTAAGCAGTTCTTGAAGAGCCACATTGGTATGACATCGAGTACGCTTGATTTATTGGGAAGACTCTTAATTAAGGTTTCAAGGTCTGATAATGAGACTTCCTTAAACTGATTAAGTCTACACTTTGCATTATCTATCGAAGTAGAGTCCTTGGTACCTTGACCGTTTAGGGAAGTGTTTTGAATTTCCTTCTCAATATTAGAGTAAATGGTCTTTACTTTTTGATCGAAGAAAGTCTTGAGTTTGGCAGCCACTTCGATATCTTCACCATTTGGCAATTTGTTGGAGCCATATTCCTTATCTAAATGTTTATTTATGACTTTATAGGTCCCTTTCGAGTCTCCTTTGCAAGAACTGAGCTGTTTATCATAGTAGCCATCCCTAGCTCGATTGATAGTGATTTCTGCGTCAACACATTTTTCAAAATGAGTAGTTTTAAACTCATCATTCTCTGGATACTTTTTGGCTTTTCGTTTTGCCCTTCTCCTCTCTCTGACAGCAATTTGACATTTATTATCCCAAAAATCAGACTTTTCAGCAGTAAATCGTTTCGTAATAAGTGGGGCATGTTTGTCTAGCACCTGTTCAAGGACATTTTGATAAAGGTTCACAGCCTCGTCTAAGGATTGATATTCAGAAAGGTTAAGCTCTGAACAAAACGGATCTTCCCTGAACTTATCGATGTCAATTTTGCTTAGCTCTCTGACATCTTTTTCTTCATATGTACGAGCTTTATGAAGATCGAATGTGACTGGGACCTGAAAACTTACTAGATAGTGATCAGAGCTGGTACCAGTGCTTGTCTCTACCATCATATCTGTTACAGACAATGAGTCACTTACACAGCCTAGAGTAAATAACAAGTCCAAGATAAGAAAGCGGGAGTGTCATCACCGCTTCTGAGAACGTGCCCAAGCATCTTCCATCTTGCTTTCTTGATCCTTTCAGTAAGGGGTCTGACATTACATCTCTTGACATTACATCTCTTATATTATATTATTATATTAACATACGGTTAATTAATCTGAAAATCCATAGTAAAGTTACAAACTCATACATTTACATACATTTACATAGTCAGTAATATCAGATATGTGGCTATAATTTCTAGATTAAAGTGAACACTGTCCGTCCATCGTTCCAGATGCTTGCGAAGTTTAGTGTAGGTTGAAGAGCCTACACTTCAATATAAATATGTAACGTTACCTATATTATTGCTATATATCATGACAAATTGGATACTTCAGTGATGCTTCACAGTTTTGTGTTGTGAACAGCATTATTCGAATTCAGTAGAGCCACGCACCAAATTTGTGCGTTTGCGCACACGCGAGCGCCTAACAAGACTGCAGCTTCGAAAGTCTAAATCGTAATTATATCAGAAGTCAATTAGTGGCGCGCGCAGTGCAGCGCAGTCTAGTTGCCCAGATAGATTAAATTAGCACGGTAAAGCTAGTATATAGCTCAGAGAGCAGAAAATACAATTAAATTGTTTATTGTAGTTCATGACGTCGATCGCAACTGCAATCGAAGTTCTTTCATCTATAAAATAACTTCATCTATGTTGCAACTATCGGTCATTTACCACACTATTTTTTCAGTTTGACATTTGCGACTCCCCTGGCGTGTGCTGTATTCGAACAGAACAGGTATTAGCTATTTGTAAATTTATTGTATAACATTTGGTCGGTTACCTTCAATCATAGCTGTACATTCACGGGCATGTCCTTTGTTTGAAATGTTTAAATGTCTCCCTTCAGTTCTATCGGCGTGTCGAAAGTTGAAGATAATATTCAGCTGAAGCTACGAGAAATGAACTCCAAAGCCAAAGTTCTGACATTTAACAAAGGCTTGTAATTACGACCCCCGCTTAGAACAATAAGACATGAACTCTGTTGATATATATTTAGAAAAACTTTGTAGTTTAGTTTAGGGTTAAATAGTGGAGTAAACTTATTTTTACTTTTTTAGCCTTTTTGGATTATTCTATTATAGAATTAGTAATTTATTGTGCCTCCTGTTTTGCGATTTTTTCTGTGTTTCAAGAAGTTAACCCATTTATATGGTTGTACATTTGTGGAGCTTCAAGTATTTGTGAATTTAGATTTTATAACATTTTGAATTTTATTACTACGCTCTAGAGTGACATATCACTGATTCCATTGTACACAATTGCTCCTCGATAAACATTGCTTTACCGTACTGTTCTGTGTTGCATTGATATGCTGACCACAACTACTTACTTAATTGTAATTGTATCAGGTTGAGAGTATGACAGAGGAAGCTCTGGAGGCCTCATCTTTAGATGAGCTGGAGGATGTCCTGAGTAGGACCATGGTGGAACCCGATATCAACTACTCTCTGTCAATCCATTTTCCCGTTACCGCCTCCACTTTTGTAATGATCTCTAAATCAGAACTAGGGGACGCTCTGCAGTCGTTAGAAATCAGTTTCGATCCCGATGAACTAAGAGACTCACAAAAAGCAACCATCGACACTTCAAAAGTTAGCTTTCCAATTATGAGGAAGTTTCAAACGATATGTCAGTCAGTAAAATCAATTAAATTTTCGGCTGCTGGTTTCCCTATGTTAGAAGAACTCACGATAGAACAGCCAAATAACCACCCCCAGAAGATAGAACTAGATTTACCGAACCTCAGAACCCTCCGCCTTGACCACATCTACCTTGCAGACTCCCGCAAGTTCGGTAGCTCACTCAGCAAGTCTCCTAAATTGGAATGTTTCCGTAGCTACAAACTGTGGGGTTTGGGCTGTCTTCCAGAGCACGTCATAATAGCTCCCAAGCTTCAAGACTGGGAGATGCAGCGATCTGATGATTTGAAGGGCCTGGTATTTTGGGCCCCCTCACTGGCAGGGATCAGGTTTAAGTCTTGTTCTGAACTTCAAGTGGTACACATGATGGACGAACTTCCGCCCGGGAAGTGGGGACCAGAGTACCAGTTTAATGGGGAGCCAACAAAGTATGACGTCAGTTTTTATTGTGTTGACTTACCAAGCTGTCAGGGGAATCTCATCAGAAACAAAAGATGTGCCGATATTTCCGATGACATGGATGACTTTCAGATTTTTTAATGGGGATATTGTTGTTTACGGGTCGTTCACATATTACGTAATCACTTTTTGAACAATTTGTACACCCCCCCCCCCCCCCCCCCCCCTCCGTAATCAGTTTTAGACATAGCTATTGTGTCAAAATAACTCTAGCGTAATAATTTGGAAACCCCCCTCAGCTGATTACGTAATATGTAAACGACCCCGTTAGATTTATGGTATTGGTTCAGCATTTTGTGTATGTTTTATGCGAATTAATTTACTGCAATGAAATTAATTAATTTACCATAACTCTTTATACTACTTATGACTTCATGATTCTTTATGTCGTCCAGTTCGATAGAATTAGTGAATTTGTTCTATGAATTAACTTAAACCTTTAACAACTTTATGGTTGAATATTCAATCAACTCACTAAATTATTCTTGCTTTTGACTAGTTGAAATTTTAACCAATTTATAGATCATGAGAAAGTTTTAACATTTGTAGACCTATTATCTAATTATTTATATTACAGGGGATTGCATGTATAGATACAATTATATTTTATCAATTTGAGGCTTTATTTTTAATCGTAATTTTAGTGTTAATTTTAGTCGTTATATCGGAATATTCAATTGTGATAACAATTAACAATGTTGTAATGCTAATACATACATAATAATGTAATAATTAGTTGTATATCAATTTAAGTTGTTCTTATCAGTGACCTTGCAGTTTATCGTGTAACCTTGTGATTTCAGTTGAAAGCAGATATTACCAACACCATATGTGTATTTTCTTCTTATTTCGAAAAAATGAAGTGAGATCGTGAAAATCAACACATCAATCGTTTTTAAGAGAAATTCAATATTTCCATCATAACTCTTGGTTTTGAAAATAAAATAAATATTAGTATCACCACGATTGAGCAGTAATACAGTTCTTGCACTATTTATGGTAATGTTTTGCCTAACTTTTAACAAAAGATTAACAAAACAATTCGCTGTAAGGAATAAAGAGTCAGTTGAAACATGGTCAGGGATGAAGATCAGCCAAACAAGAAACACAAAACAGTCGACTTGAAAGACTACGCTGAACTTACCCGTGTATCTGAATACGGTGTGTTCACAACCTTCACCGCCATCTACAACCGCATATCTGTACCCAGGAATCTGTCTTATCTTTACTGCGGGGTTGTTGAGGAGTTTTGTGAGTTTAAATCTGCTCTTAAATTGCTCAACAACGCGAACGTCCTAATACTAGATAATAACTATAAGGAGGAAGGTAAAGGTGACTTAAATCTTCTAAATTCAAAAGAAGAAGAAACTGCAAGACTGGGCGTGTTGAAAGAGTTAGGGGATATCACCTGGTACTTGACTGCCATGTGTAACGAATTAGAGCTAGAGCTGGAGTCTGTGGTGCAGTTTACTGAAAAGTTGGAGAAAAAGAAAAAACCAGATTTTACTTCTTCCATGGATTGTTTTTTGGAACATATGCTGAAACACATAGGAATTATCGGGGGTAAAGTCAAGAAGTCCATACGGGATGATAACGAAACTATAACTGACGAGAAGAAGATGGTGATAGAGTTTTCCATCAGAGAAATATTCCGGGTGATAAATGTGGAACTTTGTCCGGTTTTAGACAGCACTCTGCGTGAGGTTATGAGGTTAAATGCTGCAAAGGCTGCGTCGAGATTCGCTAGAGGTGTTGTGCAGGGTGATGGAGACAATAGATAGGTGCAATTCAGTTTGTTTGTGTAGTCTTGAAAAATACAAGGTTTGACGTCTAATTATTTTAATCTGGCAATTCGGTAATGTGGTAACGCACGGTTAACGCACGGTTAGGGCACGGTTAAAGCACGGTTAAGGCACGGCTAGGGAACAAGGGTTACATAAGGCACGGTTGAGGCACGGTCACTTAGGGCACAGTTAACGCACGGTCATTAACGCACGGTTAAGGCACAAACTGCCCAAAAGCAACCATTATGGTCGCTTAAGGCACGGTTAACGCACGGTTGGGGAAATATAACCTATAAACATACAAGTGGTTAACTAAGACACATGATCTGAGTGTGACGATCTGTAAATTTTACAGTACGATTCCGGCTATGAATAATTTTTCTAATTCTAAAGCAACAGCCCTGCTTCGTTTGACCGTCCTATATTGAAATCCTTATCTCGATTAATGATCTCTTCAAGTAACCAGGCTCTTCAAATTAAGTTAACTTCTCCTAGATGTAAAATCCGGATTGGAGTATTGTTTATGAGTCGCATTGTTGTAATGTATTCTGTGTAAAATTATCTTTATCCCGGTTACTGCGACAAGTAAAAATGCTCTTATTAGGAAAAGGAGTTTACTCGACGTTTCAATGTAACTACATCGTTTGATCTCAAATTATTTGTTATATAGTAGTGTTGAAAGTATTCTCCTAGAGCTCACACCTGTTTATTTGAGCGAGGTGATCTACACAACCTACTTCGCAGTCATGTATCAGATCACATCACCCAACCTTGCTGGCTTGCTTCTCCTTGGGAGTGGAGAGTTCTCAGGGCATCAAGCTTGCAGTTGCAGATATCCTTAGCAGCGGGGTAGAGGGTCTGGAGCGTTATCTTCCGTAGAAGCAGCATTGCTTGCTGAAGGGCAGGCTCGTCCACCATAGCAGCCTCAGATATGCAGCGTTTTCTGGTGAAGTGGGTTCTTGATATTCCCACTGCTGCAAGAGATTCTCCATTGTTGACTCGGTCCAAGAATGATTTGTACTCTGTTTGTATTCCAGGAGTGGTAGGAGTGGTAGGAGTGGTAGGAGTGGTAGGAGTGGTAGGAGTGGTAGGAGTGGTAGGAGTGGTAGGAGTGGTAGGAGTGGTAGGAGTGGTAGGAGCAGTAGGAGCAACGTTGGGATTGGAAGCAGGAACAATAGGTGTGGGAGGAGGAGGAGGTCTGCTAGGACGAACAGCGGTGGTACGAGAATTTGTAGGTGCAGGGTTGGATCTTGTCGGTCTGACTACAGGAGTAGCGTGTTTCTGACAGGGATAGACTACAACGATCATCTGATGACCCTCTGGGTGCCTTAACCGTGCCTTAACCGTGCCTGAACCGTGCCGAGGGGGGGGGGGGGGGGGGGTCTTCATCAAAATTCTCTCGAAATTGACTTTGTAGTTGTTTCTGATGGAGGGGAGTGATATCTATCAGCTGTTTTTGGTCCCATGGAAAAATATTGTTCCTAGCCGAAATTATTGCCGGTCAAAAGTCAGCGCTTATGAGTAATTGTATTGCGCGAGCGATTTCCAATCGCGCGTCCTGAAAATCGAGTCTAAAAATCTATCTTCTCCTACATTTTTTGAGCAATCACCCTGAAACTTGTAGGATATGTTCTAAGGACCATTTAGAAGAGATTGTCGGGCCAGAATTTTGAGATAGGCCTTATATTAGTAAAATTTTCGATTTTTTAAATCTTGGACCTCGTATTTTGACGATTTTTTCGAGAGAATTTTGATGAAGACCCCCCCCCCCCCCCCCCCCCCCCCCCCCCCCGGGCCCCTTAACTGTGCTTTAACCGTGCCTTAACCGTGCGTTAACCGTGCGTTGCCACATTACCGAATTGCCCATGAAACAAAAAAAGATGCTTACCGTTATGTAATTTAGCGGTTTTGTCATGTCAAGGAGAAAGTTTAATTTTATTCATTTACAATTTACGTTGTAATAAAAGTCAATAATACTGTATCAATTGAGTTCCAAAGCACAACTGGAGCATTTCAAGGAGATGCACTATCAGGTAATCTATTTACTGTTGTTGAAGCCGCTGCACTTATTCACCTCAGATCTGTACTCTCCCAAGTATCATCAACACCTTACCCAGTGAATCATCCAATCCCTAATCCTCCTATCTCAGAAGAATTCATGCCACTCGAAACAGGATACTCGGATGATATTGACTTTAATAACACTGAACTTGCTCCACTCAAAGAAATGCTTCCTATCGCTAAAGATATATTCCAGCAGTGGGACCTTCATATCAATTCTTCCAAGACTGAATTTGTCCATTTTTATTTAGCAGATCCTAAACCCACTGTTAAACGCAAGGTGATTGTTGGAAAAGTGTATAGAGGTGATGAAGAGTGGCGCTCTAACAAAACTTTAGGATCGTTGATGTGCACTGTTAAGGATATCAAGAATCGAATATTCCTTGGTAATGTTGCCTTTAGTAAATTTCAGAAAGTTTGGATGAAGAGCAAGATTTCAGTCCAAAGGAAGATCAAAATCTACGAGGCACAAGTAGTCTCTATTCTACTCTACAACTGCAACTCCTGGGCTGCACCACTAGCTTCGTTGAATGAACTTGATATTGCTCATCGCAAACACCTCCGAAGAATCCTCAACATCAGATGGCCTACTGGGGTTATTTCTAATGAGGCACTCTATGCTCGTTGTTATGTCACTCCCTTGTCTGTGAGAGTCTCTAAGTTTCGATGGAGAATGTTAGGACATATCTTAAGAGGACAGGAAGACTCACCAGCATACACCTCTATGTTATTTGCTATAAATTCTGATATTTTTATGGAAGGGAGACGGGGTAGACCATGTTTAAACTTATTAGATGTTATTAGAAAAGACTTGACTAGTAGAAATCTTGATATTAGACTTAAGAATTTGACTGATTTCGAAGACCTTAGATTTTTAGCTTTAGATAGGGAGGAGTGGAAGAAGTTAGAAGATGGTTGATGTTTTTGTTTTCTTTTTTATGCGTTTTGATATCTATAAGGTGCCTAGGATGCTCTTTTAAAGAGATATTTCGTACTTTGAAAGATTTACTACTACTACTACAATTTACGTTATTATATTTTGAAGATGGCAGGATCTAAAGAACAACAATTATTTTAATATTTACATTTAATACATTCAATACCAAATACATTGTTTCTAAACTTCATTTTTGTACGCTTATTTTTCAACAGAAAGGAAACACTTACAGTAGCATTAATAAGCTCATCCTACGGACGGCTAATGGCTATCCGGAGACTCTAAGTATGACCAAAGTACGCCCTAAAATGAGCAGAATATAGCGTATATTTATCTTTAAGTTTAAGACGTTTAAGTTTAACTGACGAAAACTCGGAATTTTCACTGAAAGCAACATCGGCGAGAGCATTTCTCTATTTTGTACACATTTCTTCGTTCATAAGCTTTGGTAAGGAACTTTCCTAAGTTCCTAGGTCTCCGATGGTAATTGTAGGGTGTGCGAAAATCTGTCCAATATCAGAGAAGAGTAATGTTTTACTTTGTTGGGACAAACAGTGAGTCGGAAATCTTCATAAGTTCATAAAGAGGGCAAGCGCGCAATACATGAAGCTCATCTTCGATGATTGGATCAGGGAAAGGTCAAGCTTTAGAATTAGATGGTCGAGTGACTCCACATTTGTAGTAGAACAGTTGCAGTGTTTGCATGCCCTATTCGAAAGTTCATGGCGATACAAGTCGTGTCTTCCTGTTTTGATGTTGTTCTGAGTTGCACAAGTCTCAATTTTTATAGCACACGTAGACTTAGAGATAATCGAGCCTAATATCTCTACTGCGGGGCGGTTGGGGAGTTTTGTGAGTTCAGATCTGCTGTTAAGGCTCTTCGTGAGGTCCTAGAACGCGAAGAGGAAGTGGAAAATAACGAGAAAGAAGATATTTTTACTTTCATAAGAAAAAAGTCCGAAGTCCTGTACGGTTGGGAGTGTTAAAAGAGTTAGGGGATGTCACGTGGTACTTGACTGCCATGTGTAACAAATTAGAGATAGAGCTGGTGTTTAATGTGGTGCAGTTAAATAAAAAGTTGGAGGAAGGTAAAACATTCAAATGTCAAAGTTAGCCTAGGAAAATCAGTTGACAGCTATCGGTAGAACAGTGCATCGGAAACATGTTTCAGATTATAAATTACAAACATTGTCCGCATTTTAACAGCAGTCTGCATGAGGTTATGCGACTAAATGCTGCAAAGTCAAGATGTGGTGCTGTTCAGGGCGATGCAGATAATACTCTATTACTCTCTGATTAGTAATCTGAGCTGATCGTAATTACATTCAATAGCAAATATAGGAATATTCATTATATCTGAATATTTTGGTTTTTTTTTTCATTTAGAATTATTAAATCAAAGCTGATATTAGATATTATGAAGTATGCGGTGTTTAACGAGTCATTTATTTTATTTAGTATTAGTAACCTTGTTAATTACTGTAATTTCTATTTTGCAGTCTATCACATCAGACGGTCAATACTTTAAAACCATAATTATATTGACACAACTATCTTAACCTCCTCCTCTTGATCATCATTCCTATAAATATATCAATAGATTATAACTCTAGACCTAATATCTTTGCACCCCAATAATTACATCTGATTATTATAGAACCTCCCGAGAGTTACGAAGAAGTTAGTCCTCAATCCCTCAAGGTTATGAGAGCTGTCTGATAACGCTAAATCAGTCACACTAAACCCGCCCAAATCACCCAACTAGGAGTTATGGCAGGCACTCTAACTGCAATATCGATCAAAGAAGGTAGCAGTGATGTTGGAGCTGGAGATGATGTTGGAGCTGGAGATGTGGTGATGAAGTTCAGGACACGATCCGTCCAAATGAGGTGAATTAACTTATAAATTGTTCCTGTTAATTCGTTTAGTCGTGCGATTATTGTAACTCCTAACTCGTCTACATATTCATAATTTGCAACGAAGTTGAGAGTTGACAATACAGAATATTACGTGTCAAGGATTTAGACTCTTTATGAGCGACACAACTAACAAGTCACGCTTGTGTTTTGTCACGTTTTTTGCACGTGGGTTGTCATGGGAATTGCGGCGGCTTCTGTTTTGTCACGTGACCACAAATATTACCTCCCAATAGTATTCCACATTACAGCTAATAAATACAAGTAGATGCCAGACTTGTGCCGGTAGTTTGTGATTATGATATGAAGTGAACACAGCTGCACAATCGTACTGATTACCGTGACACCTTATCTCGTGACCTCAGTACCTACGGGAGAATCCTAAACGCAAATCCACCACAATTCCCATGACAACCCACGTGGTGTGGTCTGGTCACGAGTTCCCTGCACGTGAACAAGAGCTACCCAATCATAGGACAGCATTATGAGGGGCACTGTATTTGTATAGCGTGCGGAGAAATTGTGTTAATTACAGCGTAGGTCCCAAGTATAGTCAAATTACTGCTCGGTAGCCAGAGTAATCAGTATATCGAGTCACTCGCTGACCTTATATGGAATAATTTCTCAACATCAATTAATTAGTAATTGTAAATATATGAGCTCACACACACACATCTCGCAAAGCTCTCTCTGCAGAACTTGAGTTGAGTGTCGCGCTCGCTCTCTCTCTCCCAACTTTTCGGGCTCTCGCGGTTGATTTGCTCCCCACCCACTTTCCCTGAGGGGCAGAGTGATTTTACGGTCACTTACCTCGGTTTCATTATGATTGTTAATTGTAACCGTTTCATTGCAAGCAATGTTCAGGGTTTGTCGTACGTGTTTGTGCCGAGTTGGCTGTAATTGTTGTGTTTATTTGATCAGATGAACTGTATATCAATATTGTAATTTATTTTCTGGTTTCCTCTGCCGAACTGGTCTGAAGATGAGATTTTTTCTATTTTCTAATTCTGCAATAATAGCGTCGATTATTATTTTATGCTCTTAGATTACATCTCCCTCAGTTTAGCTGTTGTGGAGTTAACATTTTGACCGAACTGAAATAACAGCATGCCAAATTGCCGATTTTCAGCTGCCTAGGCTTAATTTTATACCGTCGCGTCGAATAAAGACCAATCTCTAATTACATTGGCATATTATTCCCTTCTAAATAGGTGTAATCAAGTGAATTTTAGATCCTAGCGCCACACTTTTCATCATTGCACCCAGGTCCTATAAGTATAATTAATTATCAGAACAATTATTTTTACATGAAAGTTTCGAGTGTCTTATTTTATCGCGAATTTCAATAATGCGCGTGATTTAATTCCAATTAAAACGATTTAAATCTTCGTAAACGGAAATTGACAGCTTAATTGATTACTTTCTAAGCATATTTATGCCGTTTTTTGTCTAAATATTTCTCCATTACTATTAGATCATTGAATTAAGTTTAAAACAGATCGATAATGTTTGACCACTCCATTTATGATATTAAATTAATTAAGTTTATGTGTTATAATTAAAGTAACTCATAATTCTTATTATTAACGTTAATTCGTTTCTGGAGGTCTAGTTTAGGAGTATCTCAATACATACGAGTATCACTCCGCAAGCGTTATCAGACAGGTCTCATAACCTAGTAGTATGATCAATAGGTACTCATCCTGAGCGGGGGAATGCTCAGTTTCAAGTACGGCAAGTGTTTATAATTATTTAGAACATCTCTGAAGATGTCAAATACTTCAGCCCCAACTTTCCCATCAACCATTTAATTAGTTGTTTGGGACGCACTCTTACTTACTTTTCAATCATTGAATGCCACCGAAAATACTTGATAAAGAGTAATAAGTTCGACGACAGGAGAGTAATTATAAATTGACGGTATCTGCAAATTGTCCGTTTGCTTAATGTCTATAAATAAACGTATACCGGAAATCCTGCTACTTTCGATATGTGGTTACTGGTTCCCAATTTCTATAGTAGGATCTGGAGTGGTGGCACTGCGACAACAGTCTCATATTACTATATTATTACCAGTTTCATGTGATAATATTTTTACCAAGTGATGAACTGAATTTGAGTAACCTATCAAGCATTCTTTAATGTATATCTATCGTTCTATCACATTTCCGACCAAACGTCCTTGTCGACCTGGTGAGCGGTTTTACGCCACGACTTGGTAAACCTCAGTCTTTCTCTTGTGCTCAGGATCTTACCGTTAGCCTCTATTACTATACGTTGTTATTGCGTATTTGATTTTTGGTTAAGTGTGTGTGTGGTATCGTTTTTTAATTGAAAGATAATTTATTTGCCATTAAGGTAATTGATCTTCTAAATGGACATTATGTTTTAAATTATGCTTCTGTTATAAGGTCATCAGTCATTATCCAGTGATGCGAACTAATAATGAGGACGAATTGCTGCCTCAAGATATGATTAACCATGGAAATAGTTCGAATTCCTAACAGTCTGACGCAATCTAGTTGCGCAGCATCTGTAGCAACTTTTGTCGCATTACTCCTCTTCCTCCTCCTCCTCATCCTCCTCCTCCTCCTCCTCCTCCTTCTCCTCCTCCTCCTCCTCCTCCTCCTCCTCCTCCTCCTCCTCCTCCTCCTCCTCCTCCTCCTCCTCCTCCTCCTCCTCCTCCTCCTCCTCCTCCTCCTCCTCCTCCTCCTCCTCCTCCTCCTCCTCCTCCTCCTCCTCCTCCTTTAGGCAACTTCGCAGATTACTTTTTCCCACATGTGTACTGTGTAGCATTCAGCACAAGCTCCCTTACTTCGTGACATAATACACCACCCCGACTAAAAAGTTTTTCAAATTTTTAAATTACGCGTCGTTAAAACCTGAGTTTTCGATGACGCGTTTGAACGTGTCTTAAAATTATACTTAACGTGAATAATTGCACGAGTGTCAAAGTCAATCTATCGGTGTGTTGCAATTAATTAATTATTACGGCAAATTTCACTTCAATTCGCTCAAATTTGCAGGTAAAAGGCGTGAGCTAATGGCTAAAATCCATCCATTAAATGTCACAATTCATAATTCTGAAAAATGCATGGTTAATCGAACTCGTTTCTTCAATCAACGATTATTAATTTGTCCATATAGTGGATTATCTTGGTTCTAACCTGATCGTTAATTCACAAAGACAACGGCCTGACAGTGCATGGTCAGAGGGCATAATCCGAAATCTTTAGCTTTGCTCCCTTTTGCTTTCGTCTCAACAGATACCTTTGTAATCCAATTAGTTCATCAATTGATTCTGACTACCTGAGGCCCCCACAGGGTATGCCAATGACATGAGGCTATTCGCAAATTCGCTGTCTTGCCATTGATAGTGACTACTGTAACATGTATGTAACTACAACTCAGTTGAAGGTAACCAGGTGATACTGCCGATTACAATACTATTGTCAGCAATCAGGAGATACACCTAACTCCGCTACCTCTGAATTAGTGCTGGACATGTTGTGGTGCAACACGTGCTACCGCACAAATACCACCCAATTAATCAGCTGGGCTATCATTATAAAATCAATTAATTAGCGGGGAATGATGATGATATGTGAGGGAGATAGAACTGGCGGGGCTAGTCGGAGTTGCACTAGTCGGGCTGCTTGTCATGGTAGAGCCGTGGGGCATGCCACCCTCATGTTTGGTAGTGTATTGGCTCAGAAACTTGTCTCGTATTAATTACTAATCAATGGATCGCCCAACCGTACGTACCAGGTGCAGCACATTAATTACTTTAAACGGGTCACGGGGCCTGGTGGTGCTTGGTGATTGGCTGATTGGGTACAGCAAGGCTTCTGATTGGTCCAATCGGCGCTGCAGGGGTTTAAATGTCGTGTTCACTTAAGGGGAGTTAGTAGTCATTAATATGTAGCCGTTTAGCTCCCATCAAATCAGCAAAACTCCTTTAAAACCCCTCATGTCCCCTGCTCTCTTCAGTAGTTTGACAGCTCCTGCACTTTCGCGGTGAGGATAATCTTTTATCGGCGCGCTACTCAGCTCCGCTCAGTCGCTGCTGCGTTCCTCAGTCACGTGGTCTTACAACGCATTCCGTTGGGTCCACTCTGGCCAGATTTTCGTGCCGTGATCCCAATTTTCTGTGCTGTATTTATTAGTAATCTGCTGGTCGTAGTTATTAGTTAACATTAGTTAACTACAAGTGTTGAGTCCGAACTCTTCTTTTATAATAGCTGCTCAGGTCCTCTGCTGCGTATTTTAAATATATTTTCCATGTTGGACTGCAGGGACGAGCCTTGCACCAATCAGCTCCTCTCACCCTGACTATCTCCTTTCCCTCTACTAGTAACCACGTAAACATCATTACTGTTCAGAAGAGTAATCAACATTGAACTGAGCAGACGATAATTAGGCGTCCAGATTCGAATTAACGTTGCTCTGTATTTGAATTAGCACGTTCTGAATCATTATCCATTACTTTCGTACTCTCTTGTGAGAACGATATGATACTGGCGTTTTATCAGTGTAATTATCATCGAGATGACGATGTTGAGCTTGAGCTCATTTAACATTGTTTAGTCTGTATTATATCTTAAGTTTTACAAGATCTGTGGCTGTGTTTTACTGGTAGAGGTAGAGTATTTTAGTTGAGTCATTGATGGCATTAGTGGCATTTTAGTGGCATTTTAGTTGAGTCATTAATGGCATTAACCAAGCTTCTCAAGGGGATTAACTGTGAGTAGTTTCATTAATTTATGGGTGAAGGAGTTACCATAGCAACAACAATGTGGTCATGGCAACCATGTCTGTCGCACAGTCATCATGTAGTTTGATTAATCTTCAAAAGCTTGGTTCATTATCAAGTTGAATTGCTTGCCGTTGATTGGTCGGAGCCTGTCCTGCCCTGTTTTCATTGGCTAATCCTGAAATTGGGAGTTGATTAATTGTGAGGAGAGCATGAGATTCATGTCTCCTTCACCCAGGGCCGTTCTGTAATCCACCAAAGCTTGATCAAAGCAATTAATTGTCTGACCAGCCGAGTAAGGGCTGTTCTCTCTCGCTCTCTCTCGCTCTCTCTCTCTCTCTCTAGCTCTCAGTCACTCTAACGCTATATTATCTACAAGCAATTTGAACACCACCTCCTTACGTAATCCTCTCTCTCTCTCTCTCTCTCTCTCTCTCTCTCTCTCTCTCTCTCTCTCTCTCTCTCTCTCTCTCTCTCTCTCTCTCTGGGTGATCGTTGTGGCTGGCTACTTTTTTTTGAATTACAGTATATCCCTTGAAACTTTCGTATTAGATCGTTTAACTCGGTTACTTAGCTAGTGAGGGGTCGCGACTTTTAATGTAATCTGTCCAATATAACTAATAGATAAGTTGTGCTTTCATCTAGTACTGTCGTCTCCCCCTTCTTTAAAGGTTTGATTGGTTTTAAAGTAAGTTCAACCGTTTTATAACCATCATTAACATGATGCAAATGAGAGGGTTGAAATAAACGGATAATTTTCAAACCCCCCGCTCAGCAGTGCTCTTCATCACCTCAAACCTATTATGATTGATTTATTTGATTATGCTAGGACTAACTTTTGACTGCACTAGTTGCATATTTTAAGATTGTGGACTATGATCATACAAATGATATCATATCGATTCTTTTGTTTAAATTTATTTGGTGGGTGTAAAATAAGTCATTAACATTTAACACAAAACAGTTCAATTTGAAACAAGTCGTCAATTCTTCTATTACGTTTTATTGATTTATCTTTCCACAAACTATTTACCTTCCTCTAATTCTGTTTGACCCAATTACTGTAGTTGAAAGTAATTACTTTAATTTCATCAGATTGAACATATCTGATTACAAGATGAACTTATCTTTAGTAGGCAGTAATCATTAGCTGTTCATTAAACGGTCTGAAAAATCTAAAATAAGAACTTGCATTACGTTATAAATATGAGTGATGAAACAGTGCAAGCTACTAACATTACCCAACCCCCCTCCTCCTAACTCCACCTCTTCTAGCTCGAATTCGAATGATGGATGTTATCAAGAAAGAAGTGGTCCTGCCAACTTCCCTGACTCAGTTGCCTGTCTCTCTCGCTCAGTTCCCGATGGTCTCCGCCAGCTCACCAGCCAGAACCAAGTCATCTCCCGTCAGGACCTCGCCTTCTAGGAGAAACAGCATGGCTCTACCTGACACTGTAAACCCCGCAAGCAGGGTAGGTTAAACAGGTTACACGTGTAGATTTACAGGTTGCACGTGTAGATTTACAGGTTGCACGTGTAGATTTAAGGTGGAAACTGGATCTTGATGTAACCACTTGGGTGGTTTTACAAACTTGTAATTAAATTGTCGGGTGGGGTTTTGTTTTCTACGTGGGGGCTTGATGTGTGATTGAATGTGTAGTTTTACATGAACAATACAATCTATTATCATTGAGATCGGGGGTTTCATATGGTCATGATAGTAATTGTCATTAGCGTGTTTTTTGCGCGGCAACAAAATACAGAAATTTTCGCCGTTGGGCATTTTAGAAAATTATTGATCACTTTTCCTGACACGGAAATTATGTGAAGCGAGTAATAATTCTCCGTATTTAAACCAGTTTCACTATTTTTAGCCATCAGCGAAGAGTGATGAACAATAAAGAATCATTGGAATATCAAATTTGTGTTAGGGGTCGTTCACATATTACGTAATCACCTCAAGGATTTGGGGTGTTCAACATCTTGACTATTGGCAGCGGCTCAAAGCACTAAATCTAATGTCGATGCAAAGGAGGAGAGAGCGTTATATTATCATCCACATGTGGAAAATCTTACATCAACGCTGCCCAAATGACCTTGGGATTCTTTTTTCTACTCCATTAAGACACGGAATCAAGGCCACCATTCCAAGTCTCAGCAAGAGCAGTACTCAACGTCAACAGTCATTGTATGATGGTTCATTTGCAGTAATGGAACACCATTCCATCAGATCTTCACCTCATTGAAGACCCACTGCTGTTCAAAGCAAAACTATCAGCATTTCTTAAACCGTTTCCAGATAACCCACCTGTGAGCAATTACAGCTGCCCTAATGGAAATTCTTTGCTGGACTGGAGTATGAATAAGGCAGCAGCGATGCTGCAAGGGCGGTCGAACTATTCGATGACCCAGTAGAGGAATCTACGAATCTCTCCAAAGTATCCAAAGTAAGGGAGAGGAAGGGGTTTCTAAATAATAACACTATACTAGTGTAGCACAATAACTATGTGTAAAACTGATCACGGAGGGGGGGGGGGGGGGTTGGGGGTTTAAAAATCGGACAAAAAGTAAGTAACATGTGAACAACCCCTTAGTGATTAGCTCAAGAGATATAACTTATAAGTTGAATTACTTCGGGAAGGACTTCTTACATATTGAGTAGTGGCGGTAATGTTATTATATTCGTAAACTTTGTTTCCTTCGGTTGACAAGTTATCATTCGATTACTCATTACTAGTTACTAAGTTATAGAAACCCAAGGATTTTAGCTAGCGGCGGTTAAGAAAGGTAATGATATTATGTTATTATAAAAACGCCATAAATTCATTGCTGCTTATTAGTTATTTATTTATGCACAGTTTCTCACATATTTGGATAAAAGGACCATGGGACTGTATAGGAATATTTAGTAGTTAGTGGGAAATCGATGACGGTCGAATTTTTATAACCCAGTGCCAGGACATACGAAGTTTTGAAATCCGCAGTTATTTTGATATGTCGGCCAAACGAAAGCCAACCAATGTTCTTCGATTCCTGACGAGGCTCAGAATCATCATAACTTATAACTATTATAATTGTAACTGGCTATCTCTGTAACTGTAATCCTGGTAAGATCCTAAATTAAACCCCTTCTGAATTTAAAACACAGTCTACTCTCTGCAGGTAGTCCACTACACTCCTAAAGCTGCAATATTTGACTTCTACACAGAGGTAAAGATGGTCGTGGAGCCCAATGGTCACGAGGTCGTGATCGGGAAGTGTGGCACCTGCTCTCAGACTATACGGGGATCCAGGAATGTTACCTCCAACTTTGTCACCCATGTCAAGGTATGTTGTTTTTTTGTAGCTGCTGTTTTTACCTTCACTTTGCATAATTTTTATATTTTATAAACTGTATAAAATTACCCCTAATTATTGTTATTTGCATATGTAGTAGTAGTAGTAAACCCGCGATGGGGTGGCATGTGCCTCAATAAAAATATTACAATCATTTATTATTATATCAATGTATCATTAAATATTTCAAAAATATCAATAACGTACGGTTGATCCTTCACACTTGGTAAAATATATAAAAATAAAGTTAATCTACACTAAAGAATAAATAATCTATATTATATAAATCAACAATATTAACTCCCCATCTTCATGTAGTCATTTATCAAAGCGGTAGAAATCCAAGTAATTTTAGTACGCGGTGCGCAAGGAATTTCGTTTTTTTTTTAAATGTGTAGGCAAGATAAGCCTAAGTGTGGCAGTGAAAATTGAAAAATAAGTTGCAGAATAAATTGCAGTGACTGACTGTCAAATGCATTATCGCAGTTCATTTATTTGACTGCACAGTGCACTAACGTTTAGGATTCTTACAGCTGTTATATTTTGCTAATATTTTGTTTAAAAGTTGTAAAGGACAAAGTTCTTGTCCGTCCACGAAAGGTTTTCTAGGTCAAGTTTTTGTTTGTCCAGTAAGTAACGTACAATGTTGTCCTTGTATGAATTAATAAACTTATCTTGTAACTTAGGTACATTGAAGGGAAGGATTTTGTTTATTTCGTTTATCGTGTTGTTATATAATCGTGGTCCTACGTTAGAGATGCTATAATCGGTGATCCGTAATCTGTTGAACTTAATTTCAAAATACTTTGGATTTCTCCTTTCCGTTTGTCTAAGCGGTGATTTTTCAAATATACTACAATATATTTAAGCGTCAAGTATCATTGTCGCGAGTGCCAATCTGTTCGAATTAGCATTGCGCTTGTTCAATGTTGAATTTTTCTTCTCTTATGTCCACACATGCTGTATGCTACACGTGTCATGGAGAATGTTGAATATTTACTCTTTTTAGTCGTCATGGAAATACGTGCGCGAAACTTTTACTTTGCTTGAATTGTTGGATTCGTCTGTGAGACTAAAGGATTGTACCGAGTAGGCAGTGCATGTGTTAGATTCTGGAATCTGGAGGGGGCGAGGCTGCTGCTGTTACAAATTGTAACTATTTGGAAAGTCGCCAAGTAACATTATAGTTCAACACGGGGAATATTTTGGCTAAGTTCATTGTCCATCGTAAATTGTTGATTTGTTTAAACTATTTTACTATGGAAATGACCTTTGGGTTTTTAATGCTGTTTTATGCGCATGATCTATAACTTTTTGATGTTGATTCGAGTTTAGAACGTCATTGGGCAGCATTATTCGCTCTAAATTTACAAGGAGAGACAACAATCTCGTTTACAATAATTGTGCGGATTAAAACAATTTGGCTGTCACTGTCAAATCGTTTACAGGCAGCAATTATAGCCGAAGGGAGACAAGTCAAATCATAAGGATCGCACCTGCTCAACATCCGATAATCTTCTGCCACTAAACAATCTATAGATTACTCTGTCCCGTCGGCTCTCCCCTCCGCATGCAATAACATAATCACTATCAACATCCACATCACTTGAAATTTCTCTTTCTGGACAGCAATTTCAAAATTACTGGAGCTGTAAGATTGGTAATGGGGTCGCTAAATGCCCTACCCTGAAGGGTTCAACATTTCACGTGTTTCACGTGGTCGCTTAGCAACCAATGAAATTGTGACATCAGATCACGGGATTTAACTTAATTACTAATTGATTTCATTCATTATACCCTTTATAGAGGTATATTTATGAAGGAGACCAATTTAGGAGGTACACGGTAAATTGCTTTGCAGCTCAAGCCGCGTTAAAGAGTTCTGATTATTGCATGTTAATGTTTAACAGCCCTGCCCCCTGCCGTCTCTAAAACTAATTGTCAGGCCTAAACTAATTGTCTTGCTTAAATACCACGTTATCAAACCCTTCCAATTATTCGGCTCTCCAAATTGAACCTACCCAGCCAGTAATTCCGATAATTTCACGGAGCTGGACTAAAATTGCAGGAACTTGTTTCTCAAATAAAGAAACCATTTTGAGAATAGGCGCCAGTTTGAACTGGCTTCTCAAATAAAGAAACCATTTTGAGGATAGGCGCCAGTTTGGTAAAAATAGTGCCAACATCCAACAAGATACGATATTAGAAACAATACCTGCTCATCTTATCGTATGGGGCCTACATTGGGGCCTAGATTGGCTCTTAATGTTAAAGTTGAGCTGTATCATACTAGAGTAAGGATTTTAATATGAACTACTGAAAAACTAACACCCATATTTCACCCCAGAGGTTGCATCCTGAGCAGCAGAGTAATTGGGAGCGCAAGAAAGCAGAACGACACGGTTACTTTACCAAGAACTACAGTGCCCCTTCCAACTTATCCAGCTTTAGCAACCTTTACAGCACTTTCACCATACCCACTGTAAGTTTGCACTGTAAGTTTGTACTGTAAGTTTGTCAGAGAACCGAACCTTTTACTATGTATTGGCCATTTCAATCTATATAATAGATGGGTTGTAATTGAAGACAAATAAATGTTCCAGAAATGTGCGCCATGAGTACCTACCTGAAATGAAAACAGACGCCACTGCCAGTACCAGTCCATTATTGTGTGACTGACAACAACAAACGTTAACAGGGGGGGGGTTAATGTTAACAGCATCACACTAATATTATTTACCCCAGCAGGTGAAGATGGAAACAACCCCCACAACTATGCTGTGTTATGATACCCACAACATGGTCACAACCCAGCCCATCGTCACCACACAGAACACCCACCCCACCTCCTACACCAAGAATATCGTCACCCAGGACAACTTCCTTGTCACTCAGGACTCGACCCTTACCACCACCGTCAAACAGGTGAGATTTTTGGTCCGAGGCCTGTAAACGTGTGGGTGCCTTAAGATGTAACTTTACAAGGTTCCAACATTTACCCAGCTTTAGAACACCTTACTTAATTTCGTGGTCAGGCGAATCACGATCGTATCTCGTTACGAGCTGTTTCGAATAATTTCTTATATATTTATTTAGTGTCTTCGTGGTTATCATTCTTGCTCAACCTAGATTCCAGATATCAATTTAACAACTATTCTCCTCTCAAAGGAGCAAAACGAAACGAGTAGGAAGTACTCTGGAACCAGCCCGGCAACCATGACAACCACAGCAACACGTGTCGTGTCACCTGACTCAGTTACCGATAACGAGATGTGGGCACTGCTCCAGGCTAAACAGATGTTATCTTTCCTCGTGGAACAGTTCCTGCCACTAGAAACTGCAGATAGTCCCTCGCTCACCACCCTCTTGTCCGTAAGTTTATTAACTGCTGGTCGGAGCATCAAAAGCTACTCTCGAGGAACATTTTGATTATCTGAAACAATGAGTTCAGTCTATATATAGATCTACCGTAAAATTACTGCAATAAAATGACAGCCGAATTTTTGGCTAAAGTCAGAACACAGTGTCTTGTAAAAATAATGTGACAGGTACCAGGGTACCAGGGTTACCTGCAGGGTAATTTGCCCCTGTTACCAGGATAATTTGCCTCTGTTAGCACGCGGAGACTTGATTGCTTTTCTTTGCACTCAGGGTTACACGTCACAGCGCAGCTTGCGCAGCTTGCGCACAGTTCGTTTTTGTATAATTGAGTTTATTTTAGCACATTTATATGAAATTGCAATATTTTTGAAATGACCGTCCATTGAATAAATTGGAGGGTTCACGTGGACAGACCTTTTAAAATTGCTTCCTTTGAGGGTTTATTATAAATGTAACGGTTAAATGATCTTGATCCGACTAAATACACGTGCTGCTTGCAGTTTTAATAGAAGTTTTGTTTCAGAGAGCACCTCAGAAACCGTATTCAAGTGCTGTTCTCCAGAACGTTCTAGTGCCCACATGCGTTAGTCACGTGACCTCCAGCATCACTTGCTCGTTACAGGTAAGACCTTTTTAAACAGTCTGCCGTCAAGGTCTTACAGGTTTAAGGTCTTACGAAAATATGCAAGCTCTGAATCATCTCCATTAACGATAATCTTAAGTCTCAATCTTATTTTAGGTTCTGAAAATAATAATAATCAACTGTTCAAATGTTTACAACTGAAGCTTTAAAACAGTCTTAATAAAAAGCTTCAGGTTTTAAAACTCCACAATCAAGCTCTAGTAGCGATTCAATTATTGTTTTTTCTTTTATTTGACTTCATTAGTCCTAACAGGAAACATCCTGCACTACAATCTAGCAGAACCCCCTTTTCTAAAACTGTAAACCCTCAGACAGCAAGCAGCGTGAGTATTGTGGTTACGACACAACGCAAGAAAGGATCCCTGATTCTGTTTGCTGTTTCACTTCACTTCGTGGACATGAGCTGGAAACACGACAGTCACCTCCTGAGTGTCAAGTACTATACCTCCGTATCTCAGTTTGAACGCTCCTTCCTTGATCTCCTTGTCAAACACAATATACAGAACAAGGTTCTTATCTTGTTTTTTGGAGTTAAAAACTAGGAGAATTTCCAATTATGGTTCATTTTATTGACGTTTTCCCGCGTTGGAGTATAAGAATAATTACATCCGTTTTCACCCTTTCCGATTTCAACCGCAACCTGACTCTACTCCCACAAAGTTAATTAGTCCCCTCCGGCTAGGTGTATCGGTATTTAATTTGGCGACTCTCTTACGAATCAATTTAATTATATGGGTTAATCAGATAATTGACCTAGATTAATTATTACTCTCAAATTATCAGGTGTTCAGAATTCTGGGAACCGACATGACGAATAACACCAACTTCTCACTGTTGAACATGCCTGAGCAAGACTCCCCACTACTTGAGCCGGTCATCCTTCCCTCTACTCTCGCTGGTTGGTCTACTTTTTCTTTTATGCAATCGGGTTTTTAACAGGGAGAGGGAGGGGGACACCGGTTAGTGGTCAAAGTAGCAAAACTAGCATTCGCTGAATGATATATCATTCACAATCTTGTGTTTCTCAGTGTAATGGGATAATTCATAATTTTGTATCCCAAAATTATTGTCAATTGCGTTAATATTGAGCGCTATTCGTTCTGAAAATGTTAGTAATTACAATTATTAGAAAGCTTCTTTCCGAACAACAACTTTTGCTAGCAAATATCACAATGATCAGCTCTACTTATTTTATTAAAAATTTAGATAATCATGACTATGAGTACCTGCAGTCAGGAAATACAATAATAAATATTATTTATTATTTGAACATGCAATTAAGTGCTCATTCTCGAGTAAGTTTTTAACTATACAGTTCGAGTATTGACATTTAATATTCATAGGTCCTAATTAGTAATTACGGCTCATTAAAAAAAAACATATAATAAGTTAGTTACACAACTAAAAAGCAACGTTAAAACAAATCCTGGCAACCTTTCTATTCTGAAATATTTTTCTGTTGCGTAATTCGGATTCTAGGATAACTAGGATAAATTTCATGATTTGCCACCACTCTCTCCCTCTGAGCTGAAATATTGTAGTTTTAATGAAGATCACGTTATTTAACTTACACTTTTGTTCAGGTATAACAGTAGATAAATGTGATCCCTTGCCGGAAGTAACCAATTCCTTGATATCTGCCGCTCTAAGTAAATCAGACTTGGGCTCTAAACTAAGAACTGAGTTGAAGACCTCTCCCCAAACATTCAACCTCAAATACGATCCTGGTAAGTGCAGAGTTTCAAACTGCCTGAAATAGTCCAATATATTTCATATCTTTACACTCTTCACATTATTTCGCTGAAAGATATTTCATCATGCTCTTATGACCAGCTGGCTCATATTTTTAAAAAGGTAATGAAAGTTTCCTTCAGATATGCCCAAATGGTCAAGTGAACAGAGCCAGATCAGTCCAAAACCAGACTCGATTCTCTCCGAAACATTATCCACTCTAGAGCCCTTCAAGGAGATATTTGAACTGTTAAAGACAGACCAACTCCTGGTGTCAGTTGCAATCCCCTCCATCTTATCCCTGATAAAGTTGTTCGATCAGAAGCCAAGATCTGAACTAACGAGCGTGTTGTTGGAGCAGTTAAGAAACTATTTGAAGAAGATCAACTGTAATCCTCTCTTCAGAGCAGCTACCTTTCTCGACCCAAGGTATGTTAGTCTGTTATTTTTACTTTTTAATCCCTTTCCTGTCACTTGATCCTCCAGCGGGTGTGTATCTTGTTAAATTTGCAGTTTTTTGTCGTATTAAGTTTTGCCATCACTTTATTCTGTTACTAACAGTGATGTATAAATTCAGGTTTAAACTAGTTTGGTGTAAAGATAAGGACGAAGAGTTGAAAGTTGTATCCGAACTAAGATCCTTTTGTGCTCTTAATTTGGATGGTCAGGAGAAGGAGAAGTAAGCTCCAAGTTTTAAAATTTTATTTTTAATAGTCGATATAATATATATTCCTACGAAGTTTTTCTACCCAGGTCCCAGTGTCAGAGCAAGCTTTTTATCTTGTGTTTTTCTTAGTTTTGTTTATGTTATGTAAATGTAGTCAATTGTTGTAACAGTCAAAATTCAATAGACACTAATTCTAGTAATTATGTCCCATGATTGAGATACAATTATCGTTATCAATGTTTAAAAAATGACTAATTTAAAAAATTGCAGCACTGAAATGAAGATCAAATCAGAGGACTGTTCACTGCAACCGGAGAGTAAACGCATCAAGCTCTTTACCTACTTCTCCAGTGCGGAGACCGACGAAATGGATCACTTCAGAACAGTATCTCCCCTGGACCGAGAGATAAAGGAATACCTTCACTCACCTGTCGCAGAGGAAACAACCAACCCTTTCGACTACTGGAAGGACAATCACGGAACCTTCAAACAGTTGAGCAGAGTCGCGGGCAAACTATTGACAGTCCCGATCGTACAAACTAAAGTGCAGTGCCATCTCAGTAAGTTCGAAAAACGGATCGAAAGTCTGGAAGACATTTCACTGGCACAGACTGAAGAATATTTATATCTCAAGGTTAACAAAATTCTGTGGTGAGTGTAGTAGATGGATTGTGGTGCATTTTTAAGGGTTGTGTAAATTTATTTGTGTCTGTATACTTTGTAATTGTTTTTTGCTGACGCATTCCTTTGAATGCGTCGTTCTTTAAACTCAAAGTCAAAGCATTTGGTGAGTAAAGCGATTCTAAGACTAAAGAAACATTAAACCCTCGCTGTTTAAGTTACTGATTTAGATAATAACGTAAACAAACTGGTAAATTCTTTTCGCTTTACGTTATGAAAACTACGAACGAGACGTTTACTAGTTATTTTGAACACAAATTGGCATGGCTTTCACAATTCTGATATTGTTGTCAGATTCGATAATTTTATTTTTAAATTTTATAGTGATTTAAATTATAATCCAATTTGGAGTTGATTTAATTTAATTCTTACTGACTATCACAAGGCGATTAGTACTGAATATATTGACAGATATCAAATCCAAATTATACTTACTGATATCTATTTTATGAGTTATTTAGTGCTTGTTGACCGTAGTTTAATGATAAACTACATGATTTGTACAGCAATATATTTGTCATGAATCTATATTGTGTGATTTGTTCACCTAGAATTTATATAAGAAACTACAAATTACGATTAGAAATTAAAACAATGTTGGATATCAAGATAATTATCTTTTTAGACTATTAAATTGGGGTTACCTTTGATCACACTGGAAACACGAAATTACATTTTTTGATTTCAGTCCAATTTAAGAGTCTTGCTTTAGTCAAGTAAGAGCCATGCTCAATTAGTGTTCTCAGTAACGCCGCTCCCAATAATTCTTTCGCCCATTTTTTAATCTCGCGGAAAAGCCCTGAGGGTATGACAGACAGTTCGATCGATGTGTTTTTGGACGGTAACCATGGCGACGACACTCGGAGATTCTGGATCACCTGGTCACGTGACAGGCTAGTAAAACACGAATTTGATTGTTAAAGTAATTAGTAATGACCAATGACAGTGTTGATTCGCTGTACTTCAGTGATTTGCTGCGTATATATAACTTAACCAACGCGCAGTTTAAAGAAATTCACTTTCATTTTTACATTTTAAAAGCTTTCACTTTTACAAAACATAACTCGCCACCAATGAAGTCAAATTTCAGTTTCAAAATATCAAAAGAAAGTTAAGAATTTCATAAACACAAAAGGGTCCTAGATGAGGTTGTGAAAGCTCGATCTTCACCTTCAAAGTTCAAAATCGACTATTAAAACTTCATGCTTGTTCCATAAAAGTAAACCTTATATCAAAACACCTCCAACCGCAGCTTTTCTGATCAGCTCTCGGCTCTCTCATACCCAGCAATCGTTACTGGCTGGGCGTATTAATAATAATACAGGTGATTGCGTCTTCACAGCATGTTCAAGCTCGCGCTCGCTCGTATGTCGTAAGTTTATTGCACGCTTCGAACATCCCAAGAATGCGATTGCAATTTGCATCACGTGATACAATTCAGCCAATCAGAAGACAAGAATCCGCAAAGTTAAAGCTGCGCACTATAATTATTAGGCCCAAAATAAGACTTTTTGGGATAACTCTAAAACTACAATGTCCCTAATTTTCCTCTTGGGGAGGAAACGTTACTTTTACAAGGCGAACAATTTGCAAAAAACCGGAATTGAAGTCTCTATCTCTTTCACTTTCGAAGTTAGGCCCCAGCCAGTAAGGTTTCATGAGAGGGGCTCTGGATAAAGTTGTCATACGTTGTATGACCCGCCGCGCACGAAGTGCGCGGCTCCCCCTGTATCGTCAGGACTATAGTGAAACGACCGTGGGGGTCGCAACGTGATACAAGGATAGAGCAAGTCGGTGAGAGTGCAGAGGCCGTGAGGGTGAGAGCTGTCCCATTGAATGACCATCTAGAAAGGTCACTGAGGATGGCACAAGAAACTACTAACGTATTCAAAGTTTTATTCCCAAAGATAGCTTGTCATACGTTGTATGACCCACCGCGCACGAAGTGCGCGGCTCCCCTCGTATCGTCACATAGTGAAACGACCGTGGGGGTCGCAACGTGATACAAAAGATAGCTTTGATAAACGGAAAATCATGTCAGAATATAATAAACAGAGATTTTGGATGATTTTTGGAAAAAATAAGTTTTTCTGCCATCCCCTTGACCGCATCGCGGTTTTGACTAAAATTTTGACCAGTGACCAATTTAATCAGCGAGGTCGGTAAGAGTGCCACAAGTCACCATCAAGGTACTGGAAGCAGTATGTCCGGAGAAAACTTTGGTGCAATGAAAATTTTGAATATGTCCTACTGGTAGCGACCCAAATTTTATTGTTTTGACTTGTATCACGTTGCGACCCCACGGTCGTTTCACTATGGTTACGATACAGGGGGAGCCGCGCACTTCGTGCGCGGCGGGTCATACAACGTACGACAAGTTTTGACTGAATTTTTCTTGAATGACCATCTTAAAGGGTCACTGAGGATGGCACAAGACACGATTAAGCTAGGTACTCAAAATCCTATTCCCAACGAAAGCTATGATAAACGGAAAATCATCAGAATATAAAAAGAGATTTTGGTAGATTTTGGAAGCCTTAAATAGGCTTAAAATGAGGCAGGAGGCTGGATATAACCTGAGGCAGCATTAGCGAGAATTGGAGGGTACTTGCTCTGAGGATATCTGAATAGAGCAGGAGGTAGTATAGTCTGTATTATATTGCAGTTAACGGGTAAAATGTTTGTTTCAAATCCAACTCGGCGCGCGTCTTGGTAGATTATAAACCTACAATAATGCAGTCTTTCACAATGATTAGCTGAGCTGCAGTTTTTGATATAATAAATAATAAATGAAAGTTCTTTTTTTCTTATTGACAATTTGGGAAATCATAAATATGAATATGGGTTTTATTTATTTCTACAACAAGTATTTACTCTACAAGTTTATTCCTACAACAATAATTAATATTATTCATCATCTGAACATGCAATAACTTGCTCAAGCTCGGGGCAGTGTATAACTATATTTATACAATTTGAATTTTGACAGCTAATAATTATGGACCCTTACGGCACTTTATACTACTTACCAAAACAGTCTTGAAACAATTCTCGACAACCTTTCTGGTTTTGTATGTTGCAAAATTCGAGTTCTGGATTCTGTGATCGTTACTTTGTACCTATGATAACAAAATCGTAACCCGGTAGCATAACTCATAAGCATGATCATTAATCACATTCGATTTTAACGAGAGAATCTTCCTTCATGTCAGTGTCTTCGATTTCAACTTGAGAGTTCTCAACATTATATCTCACTACGGTTGAGACCAAATGAGGATCAACTCTTTTTAAAATCGGTTGGATCGTGGATGGGATTTCATAACCCGATAATAAAGTTACGGTGCTGGTGAGAAGTTCAGATAGGAAGAAAACGGAGCCCAAATAACAATCACTGGAAGTGGAACGGACCCTCGCCAAGACCTCCCTGCCCTTCTGTTTGACGTATGAATGGTTGTAGTGGTAGATGATTGGGTTGACAACTGAGTTTACAGGTAGAAGGATGACGGAGAAGAAGAGATAGTGCTTCTCTGCATTTTCAACCTCGGTGTAGTGAAGAAAAGCGTAGGTAATGAAAGGCAGCCAGCATACTGCATCTGAGAAGATTATCATCGATATCTTTGTCTGGAAGTGGAGCAAAATGGATTTGTTGGCCCTGGCTCCGGCTACAGCTTGACTAGACTTGGTGGTCTGGTGCAGAATTTTCAAGTAGGATGCTGTGATGATCACGAAACAAGCCAAATTCAGCCCCAATATTGCTATCGAGAACATATGCTGAGGATCATCTTTGGTGACGAAGTATTTAAAGAGACAGACTGCACTGCTTCCATAACATCCAACTCTTCCAAAGGGGATTCCAGAAATCTCACTATCTTTATTCCTCCAAAATCCTGTAAACATGCCTTCAAAGAGACGCCTGATTTCAGTCCATCTTAAGCCTTCTCCATTTTCGAGTAGTTTCTTTTGGATTGTTGAGCCGTAATGAGCATCAATAACACTGACAAGGTCCCGCTTGGTTTGCCGTCCAAGGAGAAAAGATATTTTTATTTGCTCTTCCGGATGCTGGTATGAATCTCCAAGTCCATACACTTGTCCGTTCAAGAAGTAATCTTCGAAAATATCCAGGAGAGGTGTTACCGCTATTGCAACAGACAGAATTACAACTGCCAATGCCAAAATGATGTAGACTGCCAAAAGTCGTCTCGAAAAACGAAACGAAAGTGATTTGGAGAGATTTCTTGCTCGCAAAATACTCATGACAGTCATCGAGAGCAGTGAAATCTGCGAACCAAAAGTGCTAAGGGCTCCCAAGAAATTACATGTGTTCGATGAGAGCCAGCGAAAATTTTCAGAACAGTATTTAGGTCCGAAACTCGAGTGGTTCTTTATTAACAATAAAAGATAGACACCTATGCAAAAGTCCCCAACAGATATCATGAGAATATATATAGTGTCTCCAAATAACACCGACTTCATCGTGGTTTTCTGCAAAGACCAAATATTCTTCGCTATGACAAAAGAATTTATAGCTGTTGCCAGCACACCGAAGGCAATCGCAAATGTGTAGGTGTTTCCCGTGTATTCACCCAGAAGAAAAGAAAGCCATGAAGAGGTACACTCGTCATTCATCGTATAACTATAATCATTTACTATTTTGCAATCGACTTTTCCATCATGGATCGATGATAGTGGTATTCTTGATACTTCTGAGAAATCCGAATCATAATTATAACCAGTTGTAATTGGGCAGCTTACTGAATTAGAGCAGTACAATTCGTCAGAGTTATCTCCGCAATCGTTTACCAAATTACAAACTTCGTTCAAAAGAACCACTCTGCCATTATCACATCCAAACCATTTTAGCTGATAACCGTCCTTAATTTTAGCAACCAATCTCAATTTAATATCTCCACTTTTAAACTCGCTTTCAACTGTAATTCTTGCTACTGGATACGTTTCTCTAGAGTCTCTAAAGAGATCATCTTGGTATTTTGGTTGTTTAAAAGGACATTTACGAGGTTGAATATATGGCCGATTATAGTACCAATAACGGCCATATTCTTCCCTTGAAAAACAAAGATCGTTGCATGTCAGGAAAAGAAACGTCTCTCCGAAGTAATAAGAACAATCACGCACCTTGTCATCATAGACCCAAGTTGTGTTCATTATTCCAGAGGTCCTATTCTTAGATCCAAAGATATGCTGATCACTGGTCGTGCAGTTGAACTGTCTATATTTCATCAAACCAGGTAAACAAGGGGCCACATATTTAGTGGCGATGATACCTTCTACTTCTACCCTTGAAGTTTTGATTGGCGTTGTTTCTATGGATGGTCTTGTCTTAGCTGCCTGACAGATTCTGTTTTGGCGTTCACAAGTGTCTAGACTTGACTGGCATAGGTCAAAGATTTCAACGTAGCTGTCCCGATTCTCCATTTCATCTGTACATTTGTACACTTCGGGACATTCGCCTTTGAAACTCCTTAGCTGCCAGTCTCCATTCATAAAATTCACCGGACAAATCTGTGTTCTATCTTCTTCGTCTACTCCATTTCTGCAATCTGTGATAGTATCCTTGATCCAATCTACATGAATCAAACTTGTTTTGGTGCTATCCGCGAAGTCCCTGGCTCCTACTCTCACACACCCAGGCAGCTTCTGCCAATCGTCAGTCTCGCAAATACTGTCTAGTTCATCTTCTCCTTCTAGGCATACAATCTCTGTAGCCATCACAAATGTGATGTCTATGTATCAGACACGTTCGAGTGATATTATTCATATCATTTTGGTCGCTAACCTTTTTGTTTTTATTATCAATCATTTCATTTGGGTCTTGACATTTCTCATCGATACCATTTTCACAATCTCTATCACCGTCACAGAGCAGGTATTTTGATATTATGGTTTCTTCTCGTTCTTCGTTATAGGTATTATTTGACAGTCTGTTTCGTAACTCATGGTCAAAAAACTCGTGTGTGTTCTCTGTTACGTATTTTTCCGAATAATATTC